AAGGGGTATCTTCTTTCCCATACACATCAGTGTAATAATGTCCACAGCGGCGGGGGACATTGACAAAAAAGATATATTATTTCATGTCGAAATGAATATTCACAAAACGTTTACAAAACATTGCAATATACGCTGTACTATACATAGATAACACGTCATTGTCTTGACAGCTCTTGGAGTTGACACAAACGATAACAGGAACATACACGGTAGAACATACACACGGCCGTGATACAAGAGACCAATTCAAGACCTAGCGAGCTCACGATTGTCATTGTTCTCGCGACTAAAGAAATAATTCTGACGAATTGTTTGCTCTTTACGTCAACTCTAAGTTTTCTCTGCAGGCATTTAATTACAAAATATATAGTCACGAGCTCCATTATTTCCGCCAACATAACTGTATCTCATTTTCACGTAAGTCCTCGAATCACGCTACTCTCAAACAAATGGCCTTGACAAGAATGCATTAATTATACTGCTGTTTGAGTCAGATATGCATCCAGTTGGACTCATGACTGCGTCATACTTTAGGAACGAGATTAATACTTTCACGTGAATGTTGAGTAAGTACTGCATATCAATAACCACAAAATGTTTAAAACGATCACATTTTTACTAAGTTTAGAATAGTTGCACTCGCGAATATGTGCTAAATGTATTGGAACTAACTATGGAGCCGGTTCATAATTGAGGTGACTGGCGTTGGTGGGGAGACCAGACAGGTCGGGTTCTCATTACCGAGACTCAGAGACTACCACGACTACTTCTACTACACTGATGATCACATACAAGATTATTACTAATCATCATCATCATCATCATCATCATCATCATAGATCATGAAAAAATGTAATAATATGTAATGAACACTGGAAAAGCTTACAGTATCTCTAATAGAAAATGAGCTCAAAATGTAATGAGCTAATATTAGTTAAAGGAAAAGGGTACACTGGATATAACATGAGCTCACAGTATCTCTAATAACATGAGCTCACAGTATCTCTAATAACATGAGCTCACAGTATCTCTAATAACATGAGCTCACAGTATCTCTTATAACATGAGCTCACAGTATCTCTTATAACATGAGCTCACAGTATCTCTAATAACATGAGCTCACAGTATCTCTAATAACATGAGCTCACAGTATCTCTAACATAACATGAGCTCACAGTATCTCTAATAACATGAGCTCACAGTATCTCTAACATAACTCACAGTATCTCTAATAACATGAGCTCACAGCATCTCTTATAATGAACATGAGCTCACAGTATAATCTTATAACATGAGCTCACAGTATGTCTTATAACATGAGCTCACAGTATCTCTAATAACATGAGCTCACAGTATGTCTTATAACATGAGCTCAGTATCTCCTAATAACATGAGCTCACAGTATCTCTTATAACATGAGCTCAGTATCTCTAATAACATCTCAGTATCTCTAATAACATGAGCTCACAGTATGTCTTATAACATGAGCTCACAGTATGTCTTATAACATGAGCTCACAGTATCTCTAATAACATGAGCTCACAGTATGTCTTATAACATGAGCTCACAGTATCTCTAATAACATGAGCTCACAGTATGTCATGAGCTCACAGTATGTCTTATAACATGAGCTCACAGTATCTCTAATAACATGAGCTCACAGTATGTCTTATAACATGAGCTCACGGTATCTCTAATAACATGAGCTCACAGTATCTCTTATAACATGAGCTCACAGTATCTCTAATAACATGAGCTCACAGTATGTCTTATAACATGAGCTCACAGTATCTCTAATAACATGAGCTCACAGTATGTCTTATAACATGAGCTCACAGTAATAACATGAGCTCACAGTATCTCTTATAACATGAGCTCACAGTATGTCTTATAACATGAGCTCACAGTATGTCTAATAACATGAGCTCACAGTATCTCTAATAACATGAGCTCACAGTATGTCTTATAACATGAGCTCACAGTATCTCTAATAACATGAGCTCACAGTATCTCTAATAACATGAGCTCACAGTATCTCTAATAACATGAGCTCACAGTATCTCTAATAACATGAGCTCACAGTATGTCTTATAACATGAGCTCACAGTATCTCTAATAACATGAGCTCACAGTATGTCTTATAACATGAGCTCACAGTATCTCTAATAACATGAGCTCACAGTATGTCTAATAACATGAGCTCACAGTATGTCTTATAACATGAGCTCACAGTATGTCTAATAACATGAGCTCACAGTATCTCTTATAACATGAGCTCATAACATGAGCTCACAGTATGTCTTATAACATGAGCTCACGGTATGTTCTAATAACTCGGTATGTCTTATAACATGAGCTCACAGTATGTCTTATAACATGAGCTCACAGTATCTCTTATAACATGAGCTCACAGTATGTCTTATAACATGAGCTCACAGTATCTCTAATAACATGAGCTCACAGTATGTCTAATAACATCTCTAATAACATGAGCTCACAGTATGTCTTATAACATGAGCTCACAGTATCTCTTATAACATGAGCTCACAGTATCTCTTATAAAGCTCACAGTATCTCTAATAACATGAGCTCACAGTATCTCTAATAACATGAGCTCACAGTATCTCTTATAACATGAGCTCACAGTATCTCTAATAATGAGCTCACATGAGCTCACAGTATCTCTATAACATGAGCTCACAGTATCTCTTATAACATGAGCTCACAGTATCTCTAATAACATGAGCTCACGGTATCTCACATGAGCTCACAGTATGTCTAATCATGAGCTCACAGTATAACATGAGCTCACAGTATGTCTTATAACATGAGCTCACAGTATGTCTTATAACATGAGCTCACAGTATGTCTTATAACATGAGCTCACAGTATGTCTTATAACATGAGCTCACAGTATGTCTTATAACATGAGCTCACAGTATGTCTTATAACATGAGCTCACTAGTATGTATAACATGAGCTCACAGTATGTAATCTTATAACATGAGCTCACAGTATGTCTTATAACATGAGCTCACAGTATCTCTAATAACATGAGCTCACAGTATCTCTAATAACATGAGCTCACAGTATGTCTTATAACATGAGCTCACATGAGGTATGTCTCTAATCAGTATCTCTATAACATGAGCTCTTATAACATGAGCTCAGTATGTCTTATAACATGAGCTCACAGTATCTCTTATAACATGAGCTCACAGTATGTCTTATAACATGAGCTCACAGTATCTCTAATAACATGAGCTCACAGTATCTCTAATAACATGAGCTCACAGTATCTCTAATAACATGAGCTCACAGTATCTCTAATAACATGAGCTCACAGTTTCTCTAATAACATGAGCTCACAGTATCTCTTATAACATGAGCTCACAGTATCTCTAATAACATGAGCTCACAGTATCTCTAATAACATGAGCTCACAGTATCTCTAAGACGAGTCGAGAATTTCGCACAGGCATTTGCATTAACTTCACAAAAAATAATCATGGCAGTGAATTGACATAGTTTAAGCATTACCACAAAGCTATGGCATGTCCAGTGTAAGTTGAGAGCCGAAGGCGCCTTTCCATTTGCCCGTGAATGGGGTCATTTTCAAGGCAATCATTGGGCAGTTGACCATCCATTCTTCCAACGAAGGACATGCCAGATGGTCTTTATGTCCAATTATCTAATTATTCCAGCTATACTTGTCACGTTTAGATATTTTTGGGTTTTAAGGGTAAATCCTAAAACGAGCACTTCAACATGACACTGCTTGAGCACAGGGGTACCACACCTTACACAGACAGCACGCTACCTGCAAGTGTGTAAATGTCGGCCAGTGACAGTCTTGACAATGTCAATGTCAGGCAGAATTGTCAATGGATTACCTTACCGTGGTCAGTTGACCCATGACCTATGTAGCCTTTACGACCCCTACAAAGGTGTTCGTGACCTATTCCTTGTGACAGAGGCGGTTGAAAGACTCGTGCTCCTGACAAATCAACACCACAGCGTTTCTTCATGTTCAGTATTGTATAATGGCAGTGTGTTTCATGGTTTCTTGTGAAATATAGAAAAGACCAGTTCCTAAATAAGGCCAGACCAATTTTATTTCTTGTTTTACGGATTTTTGTCCTAAGAAAACTTGAAGGCAGGAGGGTAAAAAATAAACATAAAATTACCAGTCAAAGTAATATTCCTTCTAAATACTCAACCCAGTCAGACACCGCAGTTTCCAAAAATTATTTTACTTTTGGCAATTTATGAAGCGTATATGGAGCAAAAAACAATCTAAAAAAAAATGTTCTGTAAGTTTACATTTTTGGACAATAAAAACAATAGGATTTTATTTTTTGAGCGGGGAATTTTTTTTTCTTAATCTTGAAAATATACGACAGGAGGGTCCGTAAAACAAGAAATAAAATTGGTCTAATGTTCAAATTTATAAAATGTTGGGGTTTCTTTTTTAAATTTTGTCCTTATACATTTTAGCCCTCCCCCCTACCCTCTCTTGTTATATCACTGTTTCATGACATTGTTCTTCTCTGTGACCCCCACCTCCGTAATAATTACGGTATTTCATCACTAAACACATAATGTTTGATGATATTATATTTTCCGACTTTCGATTATCTTCTTTGAATGGTTCTAGCCAAAGTAAACGTCACAATACAACCTTGTTTAGAAGCCCATTAACTCATTTGAGAAGTTCCATATGAACATTTCCAAACCGTACATATGTCCAATCGCTACATGGTGTATCCTCTTAGTGTTATTCACAAATATGTTTTAAACTCACATTCATGCATTAAATGTCTTGATTAAAAATGCTTGATTACATACAAATGCTTAACATTTTCCCGAGACATCGTTCACGTGACGCATGGTAACATGGTATATATAGATATATGTATGTAGAAAGAACCTGGGCGACACCTCCTCTAGAACGTTCAACCAATCACATGCAGCATACTACCTGCGTCACAGTTGATGTAACACGAAAGGTGTCCAGCAGCCAACTCACCTGTGACATATTCCTCAGTGGACTCGGTGTTACAGGTCAAGCTATTGTCTAGGAGATAAACTAGCCTGTAATAAGTTACGGACTACTGTGACGTCACAAACAACGGCCATGTTTGTCTTCACATGGCGCGAGGTCAAGTAACGTAGAAAGTACTTTTCTCGGAGTTTAGTTGTTACAGAACGGTCAGTTGTTTGAAACGATCAGGTAGGTACTGTTAAATCAACAACTGTCATTCGATATATGTACTGAATCTTAGGTATCTGTGTACTAGCCAATTATATTTATGCATGCTACTTTCCTGTATAAACAACGCGTCTGTATTGACTATATTATAGATCTGAATAGTTTATAAATTATGTCGGTTACTAATATCAGTTGCTCATAAAGGCTACTACAAAAACATAATACTTATCCTTGCGATATAACAAAGAATTTAAAGGGACTTCTTCGATAACTTGGTCCTATTCCAAGAAACACGATATATTCGTCAAAATTAGAAGGATCCCACACTAATATGTTCTTGTGAAACAAATAAGGAGAAATGAGGTAAGGTGTATGTCGCACGCTACAAGGAAAATGTGCACGTGCACTGTTATAATTTTTGCCGATTGCATAATGAGATTCGTTGCTTCAACACACGACCTAAACTTGTACATTGCACTCTGACAGGTCACGTGGGCAGTTAGTGTCAATGACAGCCGGGGGCCATAGGTGCATTGCTGGCGTGTGGTCAGACCGTTTTACCACCGAGTTAGTGAAATGGACAATTTATGAGCTGCAATGGTTATGTACCCCACACACGTGAGATCCCCTGACACGCCAGAGTCCTTTAATAGCTACCTTTGTCGGTACATGACGTTTCATCCGAATCTTGAAGGGGAGAGACTGTATACCTTGGTTGTCATCTGACACAAGGACTGATCCTTTGACAATTACTCATTTCAGTCAGATATAAACGTCTTTCCTGCATTTTTTGATAATGTCACTTTACAAAATTCATAATCTTTTCGACTGGAATGTGTGTTGCTATTTAATTATTTCTTATTTATTTATTTTAATCACATTTGGACCTGCTCTGACATGGAGTGGAATCCTGAGATATGCCGCAATTGTTACATCTGCCCCATACGCATTCCCAACATGGCGTTACCTGACATTTTATTACACAATAAAGCACAGCGTCATGTTGGGCACGGTACCTCCAGCTGATTCCTATCAACGTCATCTGGCAGGGAAAAACCGCAATAAACCTCCCTCTTTGAATTATCGCAGAGATATAATTCACATTCCCATCTTGTGACATTCACGTCAAGGGATTGGTTTGATTTGACAGGTCGTAAAATTTCAATGTAGTAATTGTGACTGATGGGTTATGTATATATACGACAGTGTATCTCTTGTACACAACCTTTAACCCGCAAATGAATTATCATTACATTTTTTAGGTTAACGTAATCAGATTCACAAGTATAACACACTAAATTCATTATAAATAAATTTGTGTGTTACGAAATATTTAATAGATAGGGACTTATCTATCAAACGCATAGTTAAGAAATTGTCAGCTAAGTTTGCTTATCGGCAAAACATATATCACAGAGATATTCTACAATATAACTATCTTGGCCTATCAAAGATGGCATGTAGCTATAAATGGCATGATCTTCTGTTAAAAGTTAAAGACTGTTAAAATTAAGATTGCTGTACTTCACATGTACTTACATGACGTAATATGCAAGCACCAGGCCTTTTCATGTCCCGTTAACGAATTACATATTATTATATATAATTATTTGATTAATGTTGCATACAGCATGATCTATTCCATAATTCATACAAAGGATATACTAATACCTACTGTCACTTTGAACCCGACATTAAAAAACACATGTCACGTACCTCATAACAAAACCCTTTATTCCGTTGTCTTCTAAAATATATGAAATGTCAAATAATGAGCTCCTACGTGACAACGTCGTGCGTCATTTTCCGGTCTTGGCGCTGACATTGTATTATATATGACATGACATGTCAGTCAAAGGGTCTGTCTCCATGCTCGTTGCCATGCAGCTCGCTGTCACGTGGTTGAAATGTACATCTAAAACACGAGGCCATAATTTACCGTTAGAAAAACGAAGGTTCTACCACATACAGCTACGCCAGATAACAGGACCGTTGTGTTCACGCAGGTAATGGGTAAACATTTGTTTTCTTAAACAACCCCAAACCAGTATCGTTGGATTTTATGTTTACTGTTGTTTACTGTTAGATTTTCTCCCCTCTAAAGAAAGAGCTGTTGCATCTCACGGACATTATAAATACCCAGAAAATGGCTTGTGTTTTGTATAATGTTGTCCTTTTAATTCATTGAGATGTTTTACAGTTGTTTAAGTGATTAGCGACAACGAATTTTTCTTACACGCCCGAAAACCCACAACACGAGGTCAGTTATGGGTTATATATGGATCAAGAAGTCTTTATGGGTATGCATACACTTGTGACACTCAAATGTTCACGTTTTCATCAATCATCCATCGATAGAAATATGTTTGTTTTTTTGCATAGATGCACGTGTTACAAGATTACTCTCTTGAATGGAAGCTTACTAAGCAAGATGAACAGTCGAGTGGAGACGGCTGAACCATTGCTGTATATGCTGTTTGCGGGACAATATGTTTGAAATATGACCCGTCTGTCCTTCATTGTTTATAGAAGTACATGGCCCGAGGCATAGCCTCAACAAAAGCTCCATCATTCATTACGTGCAAGGTTTGGTTTCGTTTTCCGTTTTTGTTGGATGACGAACAATGTCCTTGGCTCAAGGCTGTACAGTGGAAGGTGATTTAGTAGAATTTCTATCAAGTGTTGCTTTCTGCCATGGAGCGCTACTACTTCCCACACTCCATCGTCTACGGAGGTACAGTAAACTACGGATGCGTCGAACTAAAGGCTCGACTAATTTTAGTTCGTTATAACCGTAGTAAGTCAAACGCATTTCGAATAAAATATACAAGTTCCCGGACCCCAAACCAAAACCGATTCGATAAATTCAACAGTTCGTTACAAGCATATTAGTTATTTACGAATTTTACAGCACATTGTCGAAGTTAAATATTACTGAGTTGTAAAATTGCATCCAATGCTGTTGATATTTTCTTCTTTAGGTTTCAGTGGAAGTTAATAGCATGCACCGTCCCACAGGTATCCTGACAGTACTAATACTAGGTATGTAGTACTAATGTACCATACTATGTATCTTGACTATCAATCCTCCCTGTCCCCTGGAGAGTGACGCCCTTTATCGGGTGGTCTTCCTCACGGCTATTGTTGGAATCGTCAAAAAATAGTTACTGTATTCCAGTTATTTAGTTTTTAAGGGGCTGCAGGTTTCCTAGGGAGTAATTACAGCCAATGATGGTTTGGTCAACACTAAGAAATTTACATGCATCCATGACACAGCTGAAATATTACTTACACCTTGGTCAGGTGGGTAGTGCATGTGTCCGACCAGAGAGAGGGAGGTCAGTGATTCAGGGTCATAGCCTTATAATTCCAAACGTCTTTAAAATATGGGATGTTACCCAGTCTGGCACTTGGCTTTAGGGGAAATTTTCTGGTAAATCACACTGGTAAATCATGATGTCTCATTTGGCTGGCACTATACATATGGCATATGTCAAGACTAGTACATAAATACACACAAACGCACACGCATTCGTGCTTAAGTGTAATATTCTTGAATAAAACTCTAAATTCAACTTCAGTCCACCTTGTCACCTGATATACAGCTGATATACGTTAAGAAATCGTATGAACTGTTTTGCAATTTATTTTGAAGCCATATCCCCGTCAGCCGGAAAGTAGAAATATAACACTGAACGTGCGTGAGTTTGGATATCTTTGTCAAGATTATTGTTATTAATTTCAAACTTTTAGATGACATAAGGACTTATCTAAAGCAGGAGTTTTAGCTGAAATGTAACACAAATGTATCACATTACTCATTTAGTAACACGTGAGAAATAATTGGCATGTGGGCAGAATGTCAAACGGAACAATTTTCTTGAATTACTTTTAAAGTTATTTTAATTGTCAATAACTCAAACATATTAAAGGCAAATAATAATCATATAGGCGCTTGGTCATTCAGATAAAAGTACAAAACTATGTACGTTTTCCATGTTACATTGATTTTGCGTCCTTTGATGCACCTCTATGTATTTACATGTATGTGAGGGTTGTTGCATCATGGTCCGAACTCTGACACTTGCACTACATATATTTGATGGCAGGTGCTTTGGGTGTGGGAGTTGTTGCTGACGATGATGATGACGACTCGGGTGTAACGTCGGCACTAGCTGCTGCCTTCATAAGAGGTAAGGGATTTTCGAATAAAGTTTTCGGTACACTTTTGCAGCATGTATATGTATTTGCATCACAGATTGTGTAAGTCTATTTGTAGAGATTGCTGATTTTAGGATTTAAGAGGCAGGCACTGGAAACTAGTAAACTAGAGTTAGCCTCTCTTCTAGTTGTTGTCAAACATGAGAGACTTGACAGTTCGCGAAGTTTCGGTAAGGTTTTTAGATGATTGCTTGTACCTATATATGATAGACGCCAGGTCAATTTACTTGTCTTGTGTGTCTACTTCACTAACGCTGGATGGATTCATACCAAATTGTCTACCAGCTTCAAACATTGTTCACAATCAGTTGTAGAGCGTCCGCCCGAAGAGCGGAAGGTCGCGGGTTCGATCCCCGACCGCGTCATACCAAAAGACGTTAAAATATGGTACTTTTGGGTCCCTGTCTGGCGCTAGGCATTTATGGGTACAACAAGGACTGGTCGGCTCGGAGTCAGTATAAAGTGTTTGAGTGGGGTATTCATGCTTCACTGCGACATGGTACCTCAGTGGGCTAGCACTATAAAACTAGCTTAAGTCTGGGCTAGTACAAGCAGCCGCACATACACATACACACGCATGCACGTCGTCATATGAGCGAAATATTCTCAAGCACGACGTTAAACCCAATTTCACCTCACCTCACCTCACCTCACCTCACCTCACCTCACCTCACAATCAATTGTTACAATACGCTGGAAGTTCCTGAATGGACTCACATACAGCACATATTTTATTCTGCTAGTGGGACCTGTTGTAAATCTAAAACGGTATTAATTTGGTTAGAAGTATGAAAGCGCTCGCTGGAGCTAGTGCTACAAGTAGATATCGGTGTGCTACAGCTTGTATTAGTGGAACATATTATGTTCCCCCCCCCCCCCACCTTGTTCCAGAGGAATGATGTTGTTTGCTATATAAGGTATGCATGGTATATATGTGTTCGCTACAGCTGATGTTGGGTTATTTTTAGTGCGTGTTAGAGAGTTGCTTTTATTCCGGTAAAGGGCCCACCGGTCCATTATACAGGTACAAAGTATGATGAAGTACAATTGTTGTACATGAGCGTTGTATATAATACACGTACATTGAGAACATTAGTGTAACTAAGATATTATTTCACAGATATCCCTTTGAAAAAGGAATCACGTTTCTTAGCAGCAAGAAATATATATTTTGCCAAATTCTTGCATATGTTTTGATTAGTGGTGCAAAATAACAAGACCATTTTCTCTCAAGTTGGGAACATGTGATAATACTGAGGTAAGAGATTGGATCGCTGCGTGTGTTAGAGGTATGTAGGTATTCGCTATTGGTATGCTACACATTGTGTTAGAGGTATGTTGGTATTCGCTATTGGTATGCTGATTTTCGCTACTCATTGTGTTAGAGGTATGTAGGTATTCGCTATTGGTATGCTGATTTTCGCTACACATTGTGTTAGAGGTATGTTGGTATTCGCTATTGGTATGCTGATTTTGCTTAGAGGTATGATGGTATTCGCTATTGGTATGCTGATTTTCGCTACTCATTGTGTTAGAGGTATGTAGGTATTCGCTATTGGTATGCTGATTTTCGCTACACATTGTGTTAGAGGTATGTTGGTATTCGCTATTGGTATGCTGATTTTCGCTGCACATTGTGATAGATGTATGTTGGTGTTCACTGCAGCATATATTAGAGTTATGTAGATGTTCGTTACATCTCATGTTTTGCGGTATGTAAGTGTTTGATTAAGATTGTATTGGATACAGCATATATTAAGGTATGTAGGTGTTCGATACGGTATATTTTAGAGGTATGTAGGAGTTATGGTTAGCTCTAATTGTATACTCAAGATAATACTTTTCGTAGTCACCTTGCAGGGTTTTTTAAGGTATGAGTACTACAGTCATATATGTTTTCGCCAAACAGTTTTTTTATCAAGTTATGTGTTCAGGAAGCATTGTTTTCTTCGTGATTTATGTCTGCAATAATGATGTTTCAGATGCACATTTTTAACAGCAGGTTATAGTTTTGGTAGAAGCTTCAAGTTACACTGTCGTAGGGTTACTTCATGTCTGTTGCTGTAGTGAAGACGAGGGAGATCGAGCGGCTCCTCCACACCTCCTGGTGCGTGGTGTCCGGCCCAAGCTGTCCAGATGGAGACGAGGGAGACGCCAGATCCAAGAGGTCCACCTCCGTCTCTGGGAGCAGCGACCTGGGTACCAGCATGCAGGCGGCCATCAACAGGTACCCTGACGTTGTGTTATCAAAAAATGCCTAGAGTCTTCACAACGATTTGAGTGGTTTTCTGCCTCAACAAACAGTGACTTTTCGTCATTGATGTGTTGTATATGAAATTCAGATGGAAACGATTGTCTCGCCAATGTCCGGGCGTCTATGTCAAGAAGTGAACGTTCGGTACGCATCCTCCAGTAAGCCGCAGCAAGACGTTTTGTGGCGATATTTCAGAGTGAGTTTAGTTTTACGCCGCACTCAGCAATATTCGAGTTATATGGCGGCAATATTTTAGAACTGTTCGGCATTTCAATGAAGAAGATATTTCGCTGAACGTTCGTAACTATCAGTAATGTGTAAATCTTGGAAGGTTTCATTTCTTGGTCACGGGTTACCAAGTCGTCAAAGGCAACACAATTCGTAGTAGGTTTGGTTTGTTGGTTTGTTGTTTAACGCCGCACTCAGCAATATTCTTGCTATATGGCGACAATCTGTAAATAATAGAGTCTGGACCAGACAATCCAGTGCTCAATATCATGAGCATCGATCCACTCCATTGGGATACGATGACATGTGTCAACCAAGTCAGCGAGCCTGACCACCCGATCCCGTTAGTCGCCTCTTAGACAAGCATGGGTTGATGAAGACCAATGCTAACCCGGATCTTCACGGGTCTCGTCGTAAGGAGGTGCGTCAAAAGCCTATGATTGTTCCAACGATTGTGGGCACCATATTGTTTGTTGAATTAACATGGTTCACATCCAAGAACCGTATCACCTTCAGCTTCCGACCCGCATCAACGCCGTATAACTGAGATGCTTTTTTGAAGCGGGATATTGGAGCACTCGTCGCCATTTCATACATAATTTTACAATTTTATAAGTGCGTCATACCTACGCTCTCTTTGCCAGTTTCAGCAGATGTGTATGTGCGGCATCCAGGCTGAACCACGTGTGTAACCTCAACATCTCCCTCTACCCCGACAACGTTGACCACTTCGCTGTTCACAGCAGCTTTTCTGTTGTATTTCATTGGCTTCACGTTGTAAAAGGTAACACCCAAATCAAACAAATCGAGGCAAATATATATTTCGGTTTGTAGTGCAGGAAGTTGTGTAATTACATGTTAATTTTTGGAACCAATACTAATTGCAATCACTGTTATGTATGGATTCAGGAAAAACATGGTTCCATTTTGTTTTCCATGGTTTCCTATAAGTGTCATTGTAGGGTGATTGAATATGAGTTCCCAAAATTGCTTGCGACACAATTTCGAGAAAAACATGTTTTTTATCACAACGTAGTCATGTAGCATATCCAAAGGCAGCTTATGATGTATGACATAGAGTTAACCACATAATATGTTTCTAATCATATAAATTAATCAAATATTGTCTTTCCTTCATCGGACACCAACATTGTAAGTATTGGCCTATATTAATGGGAACCATTTACTCAATTAATGTATTCTCCCATTTCATAATATATACTACCATGACACACTTATGTACGAAGTAATAATAGTACCCAGATAAGGTTAATGTGACTATCATCTAGTCGTGCACAAGTGTCAAATCAGGCCTACCAGTAGAGTCAGAATTGACACACTGACACTCGTGTCTGGGTAATTAAATGACAAATGACATAAAGCCAAATATGCAGTCAATACAAACTGAATGTATTAATACAGGAGTGAGAAATTATATCACAGTAAACAGATGACTACATATTACAAGTGGGGTATGCAAGTGAAATATATAATGTGCACTAGTATATTTAACTTAACTTTCACATTGTTAAGTAACTTGCATAGTCAATCAATCCGTCATTAACCTGCAAGAACAAAATATGCTGCTGAAATACAAGCTTCGACATTATTTCCCATACAAACACAAGCATGAATTCTATTTTTTTCTTAATATGGAAACTAGAAGGGCCCTGGTTAGAGAACATGCCTCCGGCTTGCACATCAATTTCCTTTCACTATTACATTTGTAAAGTACTACTGTCCATGTGTACTTGTACTTTAATGTACTTTCACCAAACCCTACGCAGAGAGTCCTTGTGTCATATCTAACATAACCACCGAGATTCATTCAAATCCATCCATAACGTTTTGAGATATTACTCATATTCTCCATTTATTTAATATTGCGATTATTTTCAAAGTACCTCTGTGTACATGTACTTTAACATACACCCTTCAAAAAAAAGAAAATTTGAAAAAAATTAAAGTTTGTACGCAAATGACAAATTTAGCATGTTTTGAGGGTTGAATATTGTTGTTGGTATGGTTTAGAAGAACATGAGTGAGCGGATGCAACCATAAACGATTTTGAATGGTTTTATCGATCATGATTGTCATGATGAGCTTGACAGTTATGGAACACAACCAAAAGCCGCAATTATTGCTTTTCGCGGGCAACCTATGACTATAAAAGACCCAAATGGATCTCGCAAATTCATCCAAGACCCTTGCAAATACTGGATGAGAAAATGGGACGTCTTAACTGTGCCCACCGAAATATTGCCATTGGACAAGCTGGCGAATCCAAGAGTGTCGTGGCGAGGACCTTTAGCATTCATCCCAGCACAATAACTCGTTTTGTGCATTCCATTTCGACAAATGACCATCCAAGACCAGGAAGACGGTGAGTCACCACACAGCCCAAGATCGCTACATCCGGGTAACCCACCTACGTGACTGCCATCGTTCCGCCCAGGACACAGCACAGGAACGATTTGGAGCCCGGAGAATGTCCGACCAGACAGTCAGGAACCGTCTCCGAGAGGTAGGTATGCGTGCCTGACGTCCAGGAGTTGCCCCGTCTCTGACACGATTACATCAACGTCTGTAAGTCAGTCGCTGTGCAGCCATGGAACCTTGGAAACTGGAGGCACATATGGTTCAGTGATAAATCGCGGTATCCCCTCAAGCGACGTGACGGAAGACAACGTGTCTGCAGACAACGCAATGAACGTTTTGCATCCAACTGCATCAGGCAAGTGGACAGAATTGGTGGAGTTGGTGTGATGATGTTGGGAGCAATCTCATACACCTGCAGATCGGAATTGGTGCTCGTCCAGGGCAATCTTACGGCCGCGAGATATACCGACCAGATTCTCTGTCCCCACGTGCATGGTCTTGTCGACCCCAAAGAGAGCTGTACCAACAGGACAACGCCAAACCTCACACAGCACGTGCTACAGTGGACTACCTGGACAATAACAACATCAATGTCCTCCCCTGACCCTCCAGATCCTCGGATCTGAAACCAATTGATTACCTTCGGGTTCAGATAGATAAACGTGTACGTCAACGTCGTAATCCGCCATTGAGGCTTTAACAGTAACTGTTGTTCAACATGCCGCAGGAGGAATGGAGAAGGATTCCACAACGAAACATCCAACACCTGATTCAATCTGTGTCAAGGAGGTGTCGTGCAGTTCTAGCAGTAAGAGGTGGCCATACAAGGCAGTAACGTCAACGTCACCTCGTGACTATGATGACTATCATTCTTGCGAAATGTGCACGAGATACCAATGTATTGCTCTACATAATTTCAATGCTGTACCGTTTATTTTCGTTGATTTACATAATTGAATAAGACCAAATTTTTCAACGATATTTAGCTTTTGCGTATCTATTTTTAAACGTGTACTATTTCAACATCTAATTGATTTGTCCTGGGGACATACCCGAGAGATCCAGAAAGTTTCATTGAAATCCATCTAGTAGTATTTGAGTAAAGATGCTAACACATAAAAACACACACGCGCGCGCGCGCACGCACGCACGCACGCACACACACACACACCAGGGTTGAATGCATACCCTCTGCAAAAAAACTTCGTTTTTGGCAAAAGCACTTATGATCATAGTGCTTATTATGCATACATATAGTATTGAGATTCATGATATATAACGGTAGTTGTAAAACACACATCACAAGGTACATTTTGACATACTACATGCCTATGTTATGATAGGTTTATAAAAATATGTTTTTCTCACATTGGTGTTGCAGCTCGATTATGGGTACCGATGTTCAGTTACCCCAGAATGACACTTATAATCATCAGGAAAAATGGAACCATGTTTTTTCTGAATCCATATGCAATACTGATCACAATTATCAGTGGTTCCAAAAATTAGCATGCACTTGCCACGGAAAGCATTTTTGCTACATAAGCCCCTGCACTATTGGTTTAAACAATACATAATTTCCTTGACAAATAAACTGGACAGCAGCCGCAGATCCCTTTTGAAGTCAGGTCTTCGTGCTCTGTGGGGTGAGTATTTAATCTTGTACATTGAGAACTCATCGACAGTATTCGGTTGTGTGTCCCAGTGGGATTTCAAAACATGCACCCCGCTACTCCGAAAAAGAAAATTTATAGAAAATCATATTTGACTGCAGCGTGTATATGAGCACGACCGTAGCCTGACAAAGATATAAAGATACTGACAACTTGTATAAAGATAATTACAATTTCTATAAAGGTAACGATAACTTGCATAAGGTAATAACAACCTGTATAAAGATAATCGCAACCTGTATAAAGAAAATGACAACTTGTATAAGGTGATGACAACCTGTATAAAGATAATGATAATTTTTATAAAGATAATGACAACTTCTATAAAGGTAATGATAACTTGTATAAAGACAATGACAACTTGTAAAAGGTAATAACAACCTGTATAAATATAATGACACATTGTATAAGGATAATGACAACTTGTATAAGGATAATGGCAACTTGTATAAAGATAATGACAACCTGTATGGAGATAATGACAACTTGTATACAGATAATGACAACTTGTGTACAGATAATGACAACCTGTATGGAGATAATGACAACCTGTATGGAGATAACGACAACCTGTATGGAGATAATGACAACTTGTATACAGATAATGACAACCTGTATGGAGATAATGACAACCTGTATGGAGATAATGACAACTTGTATACAGATAATGACAACCTGTATGGAGATAATGACAACTTGTATACAGATAATGACAACTTGTTTAATGATCATGACAACTTATATGAAGATAATGACTTTATTTTATATAGATTTCTACTGCTACATCAACCCTAGCTCCACCATCACATGTGACTACAGCCAGCACATCGACGTCCCTCTGCCGTCACGGGTGGAGATACAAAATTTCGCGAAACAGATACAAGGGGGGATACTCCAGAAATCGGAGTGTGGGTGAGAAAACGTACACATACGTGGGTCTTATTCAGTAACATTTCTCACACTTAAACACAAATGAATTGAAAGTGAAACAAATAGAAACTAAGAACCGGTATTATTGTGTAAGTATAAGTGTTTTGACCACAATACTGCCTTTGATTAATCCGTTATTTTAATGCTGTACGGTGGAAGTATATGGTGATTAACATGGTTTATATTATTATTAGCTGAAACATGTTTCGTAGACAAAGATGATTTACATATGAAACAGGTTCATCATTTCTGCTATCTCTAGTGGTTTAGAATGTAATAATGTGCTTGTTTGTAGTGAATTCTGTGGTCGGTTCCGGTGTATATACGAGGCATGGAGCGATGATGGAAGAGGAACTTTTGACAACATATACGAAAAATGTAAGTGTAAAACATATGGATAAATAGTGAACGATCAAACATACTACAGGACGATTGAAGACTGAAACGAAGAGCGTGACGGTAGAAGTAAATTGAATTAAAAGAATGTGTATGTCGGACAGGTATTCAACATTTGTGCTCGGTGACTACAACCACCGCCCCGCCATTGACACTTGGGGTAAACTACGACCGGACTGTCCACTCACGGATACCTCACTCACCAGACTTGTCCACGACGCTACCGCCCTACACGAATCATACCATCTTCATTGCAAATGAACCGGTCAAACCTGCGGCGCGGGATACAGTCATACCAGGTAGTGTTTGTGGCGAGGTACAGTCATACCAGGTAGTGTTTGTGGCGAGATACAGTCATACCAGGTAGTGTTTGTGGCGAGATACAGTCATACCAGGTAGTGTTTGTGGCGAGATACAGTCATACCAGGTAGTGTTTGTGGCGAGATACAGTCATACCAGGTAGTGTTTGTGGCGAGATATACCAGGTAGTGGCGAGATAGTTCATACCAGGTAGTGTTTGTGGCGAGATACAGTCATACCAGGTAGTGTTTGTGGCGAGCCAGGTAGTGTTTGTGGCGAGATACAGTCATGCCAGGTAGTGTTTGTGGCGAGATAAGTGGCGAGATACAGTCATAAGAAGTGTTTGTTACCAAACAGTCATACCAGAAACAAGTGGTGATCATTAGTTTATGAAGAGTCAGATCATACACACGCATACAGACACGCAAACACAGAGTGTTTGTGGCGACATACAGTCATACATACATACATACAGACATACATACATACCATGGCGAGATACAGTCATACCATCCATCCATCCATGCCAGTGTTCCAATAATAAAAGAACATCCATCCATCCCAGTGGTGACATTACATAATACATCCATCCATACATACACGCAAATACATCCATCCATCTATCCCATCCATACATACATAATACACATCCATCCATCCATCCATCCATCCATACATACATAATACATCCATCCATCCATACATACATACATACATACATACACACATACATACATACATACACACCATTCCACCTCACCTTTTAGATGCTCTACATCTCTAATTCGGACTTCGGACTCAGCAAGGGTATTCTGGGTGCGTGTGCCTTGTGTGAATGAGTGTACATGGTACGTTACTCTTTTTTCTGATGATCATCCAAGAGGACTGTCTCTGCTGGTGTGAACCCCGAGTTAACAACCCTCTCTACTAATAACGTTTATTAGTATGTTAATGAAACTCAGTCGAAACCCTATATGCTCCTTTAAGCCTGAATGTACCCTGTTAACTGCTCCCAGATGCAGCCCCACAAGATGGCGCTGATCTGGAACCAAGGGGCTCGCCGTCATCTCTTGTAGGTGGATTAGTCGGTGGCCTACTGGCAATGGCTCTCTTGGCGGTCATCGGACTCACTGTGTTGATGTGGAGGAAGAAACAGAGCCGAAAGTAGGCTACACAGTGACCTTTTAACAATAGTGTTCATTAAATATGCTGGTAACTCAAACACATACTCCCATCATGCTCTTATATGTTGTATCATATATAGGTTTGGAAAGCGCTCGAATATCTTTGACATTAAAAATGCATTGGTATGCATTCAGCTGAAAATCGATACAAAAGGTTGTCTTTCTAAATTAAGATTCTATTTCAACGAGAGTTTTGTTCAGAGGAGACATAGGCTTCTCTATTTAATTGTGCTCTTGTGGCCAAAATACACTGAACGTTATTTTGTCTTACTGCTTTACTCAAGTACTTGTCCTTTACCGAGCGGTCTCCAAGGAAAATGATTAGGTGCAGGTTTAAAAGCTGTCTAAACTATGCCTTCGTGAACGAGAAATCCTTTTTGTTATTGTATACAAGTTATGCAAAATATCCGGGTGTGTCCGTGCAACATTAGAAGAGTGTGATTGTTTCAGAGGGAAATGAACATTTGAGGTGTGATTTTGTCATTGACTACCAACAGCGTTAAGCTCTTACTTACCTATTTTCGTATGTTTTGGTGTGCAACACCTGGCATATACAGTTAGCAGATTAATAAAGCAATATTATTATATTACAATTTTGTTATAACATACACATATTATGGCGTTTGAATCAATCCCATGATTATTGCTATTCATGCACTTTCTGTGGGAAATGTTAGCGGTTATGTTGCTGTGTACTCTACAGACACGACGTTCCCCCGGTCAGCTGCGTGTTCGCTGGTCAGACGGACACTGGACAGTCCAACTCACGTGACTACACCAACCTAGATGAACACGTGAGTAGAGATATCCATATAAGGCCATAAAAGGTGTTAAACCTAACCCCCCACTCCAACTGGCTCTTGTGCCCTAAGACAGCTCAGTCGTATGTGACGTTGTGGTCTCAAACGTCTAGGATCTGAAGATGGTGGGTTCAAATCTCACATTTGACGTCTGTTTTCTGGTCGAATTCCTTCGACTTGTTTCACTTTGGGTTTTGTTTTCACATTACGCTGAAACTGCGTGGTATAAATGGAAGTCAATCAGTGTTCAAGGGGCTGATGTTCCTATGTTTATGGAGGTTGATGTGGTGGCCTAGCGGTTAAAGCGTTCGCTCGTCACGTCGAATTCCCGGATCGATTCCCCATATTGGTACAATGTATGAAGCCCATTTCCGTGATATTGGTGGAATATTGCTAAATGCGGCGTAAAACCCTACTCACTCACTATGTCCATGGATAATTTTCATGATAATCATGATTCAATACTTCTGTTTAACGTATTTTCTTCCTTGCAGACCAACATCACAGCAACTAATCCCCTAGCTTGCAATGGCGTCACTGCACGGAACGCAGACATACCCGACGTAATCCCTGGCACAGCGGAACTGAAGGTGGCCACCGACGACACGTATGCGACATTAAACGAGTGCGAGATGAGTGGGCCGCATGATAACCCCGCTTATGACATGAAACCGACGACGAACAAAGGGGAAGAACTCGTGTTAGGGGAGGCAACTCCGTATGGGGACAGTTTTTATCTCGAAGGCATTTACGCCAAACCAGCCGACAACTCCGAAGTCCCCGGTTGCCATGGTTCCGCCAGCAGCAGTCAGTATCTGGAACCAGTGTCCGAAGATGACCGATATGTCCGGTACCCTCCCCACTACCTGCAACCCCTCCCTGAACTCCCGAACTCCGACCAGTACATAGAGCCCTGTAGTGTCAGGAATGGCGGTCACTCGGATGATTCATATATCAGAATGGACAACACCACGTCGGTGAGCAGTACTGACCCTCCCTGCCACGAAGTCGATCAGTATGTTCGTATTGACGAATCAGACCCAAACTATTACAACATGTAGACAACAGCACATATCACACGCGATGTTCCAGCTCTCTGTCCGACACTCGTGTGTTGTTATTTTTGTCTCATGTAACTGGACAATGGACGGTTATTGTTTCATGAACATGTCGCAGCTGTCTCAGGTCTGAATGACAGAAATATCTTCGGCCAAACTTCGAGGTTTCTGTGCACCTGATCATTTCGTTCTCCGCATTGAACCAAAATGATGAATGTAATATTATTTGGAGTTATCGCCCTTTACCCTTCATGTATAGACCTGTAAATAAAGAGAATTGCACCCAAACGCCGTGGTGTTGATGCGAGTCTTTATTTACAGACACACCGACGCAAATATCATGGAATTTGGGGAAATTATATTTCAAGGCATATTTTTTATTAACCCTAAGTTTGATTATCGTGTTAATAAATACAACATAAATTGTTTCAGTCGCGAAAAGAAAAAGTAAAGTACGGTTATTTCGAAAATCGACCGTTAAGCTTGAGCATGATCCAACCAATAATGAGACCTAAGGGACCGTACATAATTTATGGCTAGGGCGGGTGATGATGATTTTATGGGGGGTAACCCATCTTGTTCTGGGGAGGAAGGGGGGTCAGCAATTTTGTACACGTTTCTAGGGGGTCAGCAATTTTGTACATGTAAATATTTAAAAATTATGCTTAAAAATATTGGAAGGAGAGGTGAGGGGTCATTGATTTTGTACATGACATGCGGGGTGGGTGGTGGGTGGTGTCACTTACTTTTGTACATAAATTTAGGGGGTCATTCACATTGTACATTTGTACATGCTTCTCCACACAAACATCATCATTCACACACACCCGGCCATAAATTATGAACAGTCCCTAAGTTTTCTGGACATACTGAGCAACAGCACTTTACTGTCTTTCACCACTAATACAGCCCGGTCAGTATTAAGAGTCTGGATTTCTGGGCAATTTTAACAGGGCCCCTAATAAGAGCCGAGTCAGTTACATCTAATGCTTTCGTTCCTTTACATTTGCTTACCATACAGAATACCAAACACTGTTGTCCTCTTTCGTCATAATCACCGGACCCTCGTTAATCCAGACTTCACTAATCCCGAATCTCCACTTTCCTGCCCCGTATACATGTTCCGTTTAACCGGACGATTACATTCAGCCTAACACGTTTTTACCTTATACACAAGGAATTTGCCCTGAGATAGGCCAAATATAAAATGAACTGAACTGGTCGGGGTCTAAACTGAGTAAATACGGTACGTTTTTCTACTGGTGTAAAAATGCAGCTTTTTGGTTGAATATTTCTCGACGTTGTTTCTATTTAATGATAATAATAATAACAGTCCATTTATCGCGCGCATTGCTTCATGCACAATGCATGCTGGACGCGCCCAAACAATCTCATTATTACCCCGGATAACCCAAGCTGCCTCTTAAACGCTAGAGGGTATTAGTCATATGACTTTATCCCGTTTTCTGTCTGGTAAGTCCGGACATTGTTAATCCGGAACCCTCGCGATTACTGTGCAAGACGGCTACATGTGCATATATAACAGAGGACGGTTAAAATACGAAAACCCATTAGATTTCAGAATGTTATCGGCCGGTATTTACGGTATGTCTGGATGTAAGTTTTCGATGTATATGTGTAATGGTACCCAGGTGCCATAACCTGTGAAAATCCGGGTTAGAAAATAGAAATGGTCTTCAGCAACCCATGAGATCGGGTGGTCAGGCTTGCTGACTTGGTTGACACATGTCATCGTCTCACAATTGCGTAGATCGAGGCTCATGCTGTTGATCACTGGATTGTCTGGTCCAGATTTGATTATTTACAGACCGCCTCCATATAGCTGGAATACTGCTGAGTGCGGCGTTAAACAACAAACAAACCCAGCTGCCATTGTTACATGTCAACGGCATAAAACAATGATCCTACCTGCTATGAGCTGGATATCAAGCTAAGTGTTCTTTCTTCTGAGTAACCGTAATTTTGAGTATATTGTTTTGAAAAAGACAATATTGCCTTAAAACCAACGTAACCAACCCAAAACGAATAATCATAATGCGACGTCTTTCTCACTAAAATACACCGGGATAAAACGCTGAGCGACAACAGTAGGCAGGTTGTCGAAAATATAACTAGCCAAAGTCTCTATTTACAATATATGTTTATTTAAACACATGTACAGAAATATAAACTACCACATCGAATACTGTAGCATCATTTCCTCTAGCTGCCTTGAAAAGTACATCCCTGATGCAGATTTAACTGGTACACGGAAGTATTTTGCCTTCAATAAACTGTTGGAACAGTGTTTTATTATAGTTTTAACAGAGAGCAATTATGAACCTGTTGTCTGAAGCACTCTGCAGAGTTGTCTCCCCTAGTGGTGATTTAAACCCTTGATCGTGGCTACGAATCCCATATTCTCTCATAAAACTTTGTGTCGCTTCATTCGATGAAGCAGAAAGCGTAGTTTTGGTCCAAAAATCTTTTAATGTGTTAATCTTGAAACTAATGCAGTCTACAATTACGCCATTAAATGAAACTAGCGTTTCCCTTAATTTTGTGTGAAGCACCATAATCAGAATTTGTGTTTTAGTCTAGACTGCACTGAAGCCCAAGTGATCACCAATATACATGAAATAGTTCAGAAAAGAAAACCTTCACAAATTGATAAATAGGAACATGATCAATTACGTTTTCTTCCTGTGTACAAACAACGGTGGGCATATTCTCATGGTCAACATGTAGCCCTGAGACCTTGTATCTTCGTTATTGGAACACAATTGTCTAAATATCTTCTGTCATGTAGAGCTGCCTTGATTGGTGTGTTGGTCCTCCGTTCTATAAAGTGTTAATATTTATAGCCGCGTGCATCCCTCATGTCGTCACCGAGTAGTGGTTCCTCTCTGTGAAGGAAAGAACGTAGTTTAAGAAAGGGAGTGAAGTAAGTGCAAGCCAGATATGTAATAGAACAATGAATGGAGTTTACTGGTACTCTTTACAATATTGTTGTTGTATGTGACGGTGTTCCGCTGGTTCCCTTTCCTCTTTCTACCACCACCACCACTACTGCTACTACATCCACTATACTAGTAATAATAATGAAAATATTTATAACGCGCCTTTTACAGGCTCAAAGCGCACAATCTGATCATTATTACCCCGGATAACCCAAGCTGCCTGTTACTCGCTAGAAGCTTATTATTCCCCCGCACTCAACGTTGTTGACGTTCCGCCAGCACTATCGCCGCTATTAGCAACACCAACACCACCCCCTACTACTACAACTACTGCTGCTACTGAAGCCAATACATTATACCTTCTACACTCACCACTGCTGTCTTTCCACTACTACTACTGATGCTGCTACTCCTACTACTCCTACTACTACCACTACCACCACCACTACTTCTACAACTATTACTACCTCCAGTACTAACCTTGGGTCACCTCCCTACATCTCCTACTGCAGTTCACACAAAAGAACACGAGATGCATGCCCGAACAAAAACAAGGGAAAAGATTAAATAAACCTCTCTCTGGGTCATGCTCCTCACCTGCGTGACACTCTGCGTTTGACGACGACACCCAGAACGACAGCAACCAGTAGAATGACCAAGCCAGAGCCTATGAGGCCACCAATGAGATAAAATCTCGTCCCATTGGTGTCTGTAACTGACAGCTCCACAACCACGTTCTCGGTGCCTGAAATGAGCAATATACATTTCACCTGGTCCGTCTCATAGTCCCTGAAACACATTATTGTCCCTTCCACTCAGACCTTTCAGTGAGTGTGAAGTGACCAAAGTGACGCAAGTCTGTCATTTCCTCTGATTCTGGTCACCCATCTTACTGGGGTTCCTTTTCAATAGATTGTGTCCATCAATCATATATTTTCAGAGACCACTCGTAAGTCTACTGTTGTCCCAAAGGTTCTTACTGATGACAAAAGTGAAGGAACGCTCATGATCCTTAATATTGTGCAAGTATTCTCACTTATAATTCAGTACAGTTGAGCAGTTTAATAGTCGCATGATGCCCTTGTGTCTCCCAGAGACGGGTTCAATTACTGAATGGGTCACCTTTCATTTCAGTTGTAGTGTTTTAAGAAAACAATCGAAGCAGCCTACCTGATGACTTTGATGTTGATACTTTCTCTGCTTTGGTTGAATCTGTGGTAACAAAATTAAAGTTTTATGTATCGATAATAACACCAACATCAAATCTCTGATAGAAACAGTTTAAGAATCAGCATTAGATTTCTGATCATTAGATCTCCTCAACTTCTAGAATGCCATTCAAAGAAGTAGATTTCTGTTATTTCTTCTTTTGAATTATTCAGGATCATTGTCAACGAAACGCCAATGCGGCCCACACGCAGTGAAGTAATATTTGTGACCTACCTGATGATGTTGTTGTCGACACTGCTGTTAAACGTGAAGTCGTTGTCTGTTGGGTCTCAGTTGTGGTTGAGCCTGTGGTTACAAAGTCACATTTGGTTAGTTTACTATTGGTAAGTTTACATTTGGTTAGTTTACATTTCGTTCATGTTATACTTCATTAAATCTTTTTTTTCCAAAATATGTCCAACTAAAGTAATTGTCGGAAACAAGGCGATGAAATCCAGCGATTCCCATGTGACCTACCTGTTGACTTTATTTTTGCTTGTGCTGTGCTCGTCTGTTGAAGTTCAGATGTGCTTGAACCTGTGGCAGAAACACATTCAGTTATTGTACCGTCCTGGTTTGTGTTATATTTTGCTCGTTTTGTGTGACAATGAAACAACTCAGTTGACAGAAAATAGGCTGCCCAAATCCAGGTAATCTATGTGACATACCTGATAATTTTGTTGTCGACACTGCTTTTAAACGTGAAGTGGTTGTCTGTTGGGACTCCGTTGTGGTTGAACCTATGGTTAAAAACATGATTGGTTAGTGTACATTTCTATCATGTTATACTTCACTGAATCTATCAAACATTTCTGTCAAAAACGATATCCAGTTTAAGTTCATGGGTATCATGTGACCTACCTGTCGACATTGTTTTTGCTTGTGCCGTTGTTGTCTGTTGAAGTTCAGCTGTGCTTGAACCTGTGATAACAAAGTTACATTTAGTCAAAGAACCAATAATTATATGGTCAGTTTTTAACTTCATTATTCTTTTCGTTTAGGTAAAATTATTCAATGGTTACTCATTAGGCTTACTTCCCATGAAGAACATGGTTAGAATTGATCTTCAGTATCCCATGCTTGTCGTAAGAGGGGACTCAAGGAATCGGGTTGTCAGGCTCGCTGACTTGGTTGACACATGTCATCGTAACCAAATTGCAAAGATCGATGCTCATGATGTTGATCACTGGATTGTCTGGTCCAGACTCGATTATTTACAGAACACCACAGTATAGCTGGAATATTGCTGTGTGCGGCGTTAAACAACAAACTATCATGGGACCTACCTGTTGTCTGTGTGGTGTATGTCTGTGAAGATTCCGCTGAACTGGAACCTGCAGTGACAAAATTACAATCATCCTCGGAACAAGAAACAATTATTCAATCTAGTGTTCTTGATTCATTGATATAGTGTGCTATTGAAATACATCATTTTACAAAACACACGTATTGCTTCACTCACGTTGTGGTTTTAATGACGTGGATGTTGTTTTTGTTGTTGTTGTTGTTGTTACGGGCGCTTCATAGTCCCTATAACCGGAACCTGCGAACAACAACACTGAACATATACTCATAGAACAATATGTTGTCGGGTACAGTGAAACTAATACAATACTGTTTTTGTTTCCAGTAACTCGAAGTCATGTTTAATTCAGTTGTTATAACACTTAACAAAAGGAGTATGAAGGATGTAACACAAATTCTGAAACAGGATAAGTTAATACGCTTATGACGAGCTGACAAACCGTTCTTCTAGGGGTCTCCGTCATATGCTGTGTACTTCAGTTGCAATGTATATTACGAGCTACGGTTAAATAACTGAAATTTATCGTCTCTCTGTATTCGTTATAACCATAGTCAACTATACTATTTCTTCCAAGAATGCATCCCGGGTGTTGTTAACACAGGGGTGAACGTGCATGGGAGTAGGTCCATAACAGAGGACAGGTGTGGTTATCTTCTAGTTATAAAGGCACTGATTTCCTATCGGTGTCAAGTGAAACACAGCTAGGTCACTCACTCACTCATTCTATAGTGATCACTCACCTGAATAATCAGCAGAGCCCGACCCAGACAGAAGATCAGCATCATCCAGCAGCCAGTCTCCATCATCTTGCAAGTCCTTCGTGTCCACTACAAGTTGATACAGAAATCTATCATGTCAGCGTTGTATTTGCATTTTTGAAAAATAATTAGTTTAAAGTTGGTGTTCCTTTGATGTCACCAACACTAACAGTAATGGTTATGCAGCATACAACTGAAGTACATAATTATTTATAAGACAAAATATTATGGATGTCAACTTCTTCTTTATTGTATACACAACGTTTCTGGGCTGTTCCTTGCCCCTTCGTCAGGTGAACGACGCAGGGGCAAGGAAAAGTCCAGAAATGTTGTGTATACAATAAAGAAGAAGTTGACATCCATTATATTTTGTCTTATGCTTGAATACCAACTTCTATATTCCTCTCAAGAACCTACATAATTGTTGGTACATGATGAGAATCAGGTGGTAACTAGCTGACTGACACCTAGGAAAACAATCATGGGCTCAGGCGACGTGTTTTGGTAACAACAAGGTCAGGCATTGATCGCTAACACAGATACAACATTAATCCTACAAATGTAGTTATGTACAGACTGAAAATATCTATGAAGGAATCCCAAATATTAAATCAAAATTCAAAATACTTAGTTTCAGAGCTGAGAGGGCGGTAAATTTGAACTGCGAGACCCAAGAAGGGAATGAGACTGAAATGGGATAACTGCTGAATTGGTGTCCTGCTTCTGTAAGATGGACTAGTGTCGATACAAGAGTTGACGTTTAAGGCATGATACCTCATGGGCAGGGAACATCTGTCAAAAAGGTAGCATAACTCACCTGGAAAGCCTCCGCCCAAGACCCAGCTGGCCGTAAGATCTGAAAATATTATGTCATTTAATAACTTCACATAAGAAATTGATTTCCTGCTTTCCACACCCTTCAATATCCAGACATAAGCCTCTCAAACTATTGGTTTGAGATTATATGTAATTAGGTAAAACCAATCAAGCATTACACATTGTCTGTGATTTACACATTGTCTGGAATATTTCATTTAATTAACAGCATCGTTAATGTTATTACTTCAGACCCAGGCAAAATTGGGGATGATATCATGAACAAAGGATAGCCAAGTCACATATTCGAGTCACTTGATCATCATACAGTCGTACTGGCTAGCTATTCTCGAAACGTTCGTAGCCCTACGAACTTCTTAAGCCCATTCTTAACACATTGGCTACGATCAAAGTTAAGAATTCTTAGGGCTACGAACGTTTCGAGAATAAGGGCCCTGGTGTTTACGGGTTACACAGAGGCTCGCAGGGATATCATACAAGACGAAGATCACTTTGTACCAGTAGAGGTATATCTGCGATTGACCCTATGGTAAAATTAATTATGTTTACTATTGCTATACGACAAGGAAGTAGTATCTTATGTGTCTCAGTGCTCATTAAGTGATTTTACATTCAGTCTGTGTGGATTATGTTTCTTTGCGGCTTTAACTTCAAATTCGAAAACAATCTATATTTTCTCGAAACCATCTCGAACAACTACAAAGGCGACGCCTAGGTACTTATAATACCACGCCCTTTTAGCTAATGGATACCTAAACGCATGGCTTGATAAGGGTAAGAAGATATGTCACTAACTGTAAAACGTCCGTGTCGTCAATATCAGCACAGTTCATTTCTTTGTTGATTTAACATAATGCGCTATACTAAGCAAACGGAATCGTATCAATATATACGTTATAATTTGGTTGAGGCAATTAATGAGACAACTAAGAAATGGTCATTAGATGGCGATGTATTTTATATGGGTTTTATTGTAGTGTTATAAAATTATTGAGCCTTGAGCATGTACTAGATGCATGGATATGTGCGCTATATAAATATCCTATAATCCTATAATAAATATTATTTCGGAGACGGCCTTCAGCCTGGAAGCGTCTTGCCAACGTCTGTACTTTAAGTCAAATCTAGTTTCCAGGGCGGTACAGAATTTTACATACGATTTGACAAAGGCTTCAGATAGACTGGGGCGAACGGGCCTCGATTATTCGTACTTTAGGCGTCCACGCCAGTTCATCTTTGCCATATGTTATAAAGTTGAGGGTAAGACAGTGATTAATATTACACGTTTTTTTGTTTTGTTTTTTATTTCGTTTTCTTCTGTCAACCAGAGTATGTGAATATAACACTGTTGAATCAAAGTGTATTCACAGCCGGAACTCGAAATACTGCCAGTCAGCTGTTTCTGACCTCAGGAAAAGGAAAGGAAATCTTTCTACACTTGATTTGGATGGCACAGCCTATCAAATGCCTTATGGAGAAACACGTTATATTCTGGAGGTTTGATTGGCTGGTCAGTACGTTTCTAGGAATTAGTTACACCGATTGTCTAGGATATGGTGGTGAATAGAACAAGGGCTTAAAAGCTACTGAATTTATTTAAATTTTGATTTCTTTCTGCGATATTGAAGCGTAAGTGTTACGTAATCCATGTTTTCTCTCAAGGAAAGGGCCATGACATTAACACAATTGGTGACTTTTGTCTAAATAATGGTAATAATTATAATTATATTCTTAACAATAATAACGAGGTGGAGGGGAGGGAGGGATAATAATTAACGTCATCTATTTCCTGGAATGACAGTTCAGTCCGTCGGGCACTTCAGTCAGCCACACAGCATCGCACTACAGATTAATTTTACAAAGTACATTTTGAAACATATACACGTAATGCCATCGGTACGCGGTATGTTTCTAAGGGTTTCTACTGACAGATCTCACGGCCAGGGCCCCGTTCCTCAAAGCGATCGTAGCGCTAAAATGATCGTAACTCCCATACTTTAACATTGACTTACGACTGTCGTAGCGCTACGATCGCTTTGAGGAACAGGGCCCAGGTCAACACGGGACAACTGTGTTGATCCTGCTCAGGGTATACTAGGTACAGGTATACCAATATAAAAGATTTTCAGTTAGAAAACCTACAGTCTATGCTACAGATTGTTTACCCGCTAGTAACTGCACTTTATGAGGTCTCTGTTTTCTTTTAAACATTGGACATTTATACATCTAGATAAATAGTGGTGCGACTGAATAGAATCATCACTGCAGAATCTAATGTCGCAAAGGAAGTTTGTTTGGTTGGTTGTTTAGCGCCACACTTCTTGCTATATGATGGCATTCTGTAAATAATGATTCTGTACAAACCAGTGATTGACAGCATGGGCATAGGTCTACGTAATTAGGATATGTTGACTTGCATCAACCAACCCAGCGAGCCGGACAATGAGTTGAGTTGCCTCCTACAACAAGGCTGCTAAAGTATAATTCTAACCCAGATCGTCACGTGTTCGGGTCACGTTTCAGTCAAGACGACTGTAAAAAATGTATGTAATACTCAGTCAAGAACTCACCCATTGAAACAGAGCAAAACAACAGTAGCACGGAGGTCTTCATGTTGACGACAGACACAAGAACGACTGATACCGTTATCTTAGGTCTTATATACATGTATAAGCTGATGACGTAGTAGGTTTCCGTGTCATCAGATGTCAAGCATCATCCGGAACGGATGCTGACGTGACGCAAACAGCCGAATCATCCACTTCAGCCAAGACTTCAAATATTTCACTGTATAATTTCAAACATTACAGACGCCCACTGAATGTTCAGTCATTTCAAATACGTCGCCTTGTAGAGTTGCGTCCCTTTGATCAGCCGGAAATCTGTTTCTCGATTCAATAGTGGCTTTCCTCCACATATTGCAACATATATTGCCACATATAGTTCAACACATTGTGGTACTTCGGGACTAGATAAAAAATGCACGAGACACAGATGTTAAACTTCGGGGCATAATAAATCCATGACTGAGTAACTGCTAGCCGATAACGTCACAATCAGCAGTATACCTGCTGTATCACATTGGCTTCTAAATGTATAAAGGGGTAAATAATATGAGCAAGAACCCAGATACATTGACAAATGATCAAACTGACCACCCAATCTATTTTCATCGCCTGAGATAATCATATAATGTTAGGGTGATGTTTCATCTTCGAATACCTGAAAGACACTCTCTAAATAACTGAATGAATAAGTATTTTCCTCGCCGAGAAGGATACATACATACATACATACATACATACATACATACATACATACATACATACATACATACATACATACATACATACATACATACATACATACATACATACATACATACATACATACATACATACATACATACATACATACATACATACATACATACATACATACATACATACATACATACATACATACATACATACATACATACATACATACATACATACATACATACATACATACATACATACATACATACATACATACATACATACATACACACCATTCCACCTCACCTTTTAGATGCTCTACATCTCTAATTCGGACTTCGGACTCAGCAAGGGTATTCTGGGTGCGTGTGCCTTGTGTGAATGAGTGTACATTGTACGTTACTCTTTTTTCTGATGATCATCCAAGAGGACTGTCTCTGCTGGTGTGAACCCCGAGTTAACAACCCTCTCTACTAATAACGTTTATTAGTATGTTAATGAAACTCAGTCGAAACCCTATATGCTCCTTTAAGCCTGAATGTACCCTGTTAACTGCTCCCAGATGCAGCCCCACAAGATGGCGCTGATCTGGAACCAAGGGGCTCGCCGTCATCTCTTGTAGGTGGATTAGTCGGTGGCCTACTGGCAATGGCCATACATACACATACATACGTTCATACCTACATACATACGTTCATACATACATACATACATACATACATACATACATACATACATACATACATACATACATACATACATACATACATACATACATACATACATACATACATACATACATACATACACATACATACATACATACATACATACATACATACATACATACATATACACACACACACACACATACATACATACATACATACATACATACATACATACATACATACATACATACATACATACATACATACACATACATACATACATACATACATACATACATACATACATACATACATACATACATACATACATACATACATACATACATACATACATATACATACATCATACATACATACATTCATACATACATACATACATACATACATACATACATACATACATACATACATACATACATACATACATACATACATACATACATACATTCATACATACACATACATACATACATACATACATACATACATACATACATACATACATACATACATACGTTCATACATACATACATACATACATACATACGTTCATACATACATACATACATTCATACATACATACATACACATACATACATACATACATACACATACATACGTTCATACATACATACATACATACATACGTTCATACACATACATACATACATACATACATACATACATACATACATACATACATACATACATACATACATACATACGTTCATACATACATACATACATACATACATACACATACATACATACATACATACATACATACATACATACATACATACATACATACATACATACATACATACATACATACATACATACATACATACATACATACATACAATGTTATCTTAGCGCTGAAGTTGTTTTGTACAACAGCGTCCAGATCAAGTTAGGAATATCCGGCCACGAAAGGCTAAGGAGAGACAAACAGACATTTAAATGTTTATAATGACAAACAGAGGCATATTTTATAAAGCTATATATGAATCACTTTTCAAAAGCATTCTAGGATCGTGAGAATTAGTTAAGTGAAGAAAAGTGGCATCTATTCTATGCTAAAAAAGAGTTTTACGTCTGTAAGTTTTAACACAAAAACACAACCGACAGTCTGCACCTGCCGCTCAGGACATACTGTCACGTCGTGAAGTCGTTCCTGATTTTGTCACTTTCAAAGGAGATTGATATAGACCATTATTTCTGCCAGGCATATTGATCTAAGTTATCACACAGTTGTGATATACTTGATGTCGTTGTTTGTGTAATGCTAAGTCAACGCGAAGTCAACGCTATAACGTTCAGTGTTTACAATCTGAGAAGCGGGCTGTGGAACTGGTCCCAATAAACCCATAATGCTGGTGACCTACCCTGTTCAGGGAGTTCAACGACAAAAGTACAGAACTGAAACCAGGCTCTCGAACTGAAACATCGAAGCTTTCATCGGGATGTGGTTTACGGGTCAGACGAGTGAGTGAGTGAGTTCAGTTTTACGCCGCACTCAGCAATATTCCAGCTTTGTGACAGCGGTCTGTAAATAATCGAGTCTGGGCCAGACAATCCAGGGATCAATAGCATGAACATCGACCTACGCAATTTGGATACGATGACATGTGTCAACCCATTCAGCGAGCCTGACCACCCGATCCCGTTAGTCGTCTCTTTATGAAAACGATAAGCATTGGTTACTGAAGATCAATTCTAACCCGGATCCTCACGGGTAATGGGTCAGACGGTCGTCAACTAATCTCCATGCTCGACAACCGCCTCCGTGGTGTAGTGGTTAGATCGTCCGCCCGGAGAGCGGAAGGTCGCGGGTTCGATCCCCAACCGCGTCATACCAAAAGACGTTAAAATATGGTACTTGTTGGTCCCTGTCTGGCGCTCGGCATTAATGGGTACAACAAGGACTGGTCGGCTCGGAGTCAGTATAATGTGTCTGAGTGGGGTATTCATGCTTCACTGCGGCATGGTATTTCAGTGGGCTAGAACTATAAAACCAGCTTCAGTCTGGGCTAGTACAAGCAGCCGCACATACACATACACACGCATGCACGTCGTCATATGAGCGAAATATTCTCAAGCACGACGTTAAACCCAATTTCACCTCACCTCCATGCTCGACGTCCACGTGATCTACCGCCCCTTACAAGTGGACATATTGCCCACAAACCTCAATAGTGTGAAATGAAGCAGGGTTAATTGTTGCAAGCCATATATAATAGGCACATAAAGAAACTGTGCATACAAAAATTTAAAATCTAAATTTATCAAACCTGTGTAGACACATAAGGATTTAAACTCAGAGATTAGTGACATGTATCCAACATGCATGCACGTGCCACGTTCCGTGACGTCAGTAGGTTCGTCCTCGAGACGTGCAATACGTTGTTGCACGTGCATTCCGGGAAAGAGAAAAAGAGCCACACAATACTGTCACTTTGGAAAGCTCAACCCCTAGCCTTGCGATCGTTCAAAAAATTAAACGGCTATTGAAACGCATAGCATGCCAAGGCTCATGTCTGCACAACGTCATGAGGCCATTGGGATGGTCCGTGGGGGAATGTCTCAACGACAAGTGGCTGTACATTTCTACTGCCACCGGAACACCATTTCTGCACTGATGAGACGCTACCAGAACACAAATGATGTCATCGATCGGCCACGTTCTGGACGTCCACGTGTAACAACGCCAAGACAGGACAAATGGATAAGGGTGACCCATCTTCGCCACAGGACTTTTCAGACTGCAGTGATGACTGCCACCCCAACACAGTTCGACAACGTTTACGTCATCACGGGATCAGACCACGACGTCCCGCCATACGGCCTATCCTGACACAACTTCATCGACAAGCTCGCAGAATGTGGTGCCGAAATCATGTCCGCAGACCCTTGTTTTGGTGGAGAAATGTTGTTTTTACAGATGAGTCCAGGTTTAACATTTCCCATAGTGATGGACGTCAACGTGCCTACAGACGCGTGGGAGAACAGGCACAGGCCTGTGTCTTGGAGAGGAATCGCTTTGGTGGTGGTTCCGTGATGATTTGGGGTGGAATAACAGCACGCCAAAGAACTCCTTTGGTGATTGTTCAGGGCAACTTATCTGGTGTCGGCTACAGGGATCAGATTCTTCGACACTGTGGCAATTCCTTTTCTGCAACGTCATAGCCCTGGGTTAACATTCCAACAGGACAATGCCCGCCCTCATACGGCAAGGATTGCTATGGATTTCTTGCAACACCACAACGTTGACTTACTGCCTTGGCCTGCAAATTCACCGGATCTCTCCCCGATAGAGCATGTTTGGGACGAAATGGTTCGACGTCTACGCCGTCTTCCTCATCCGCCAGATAACGTCCTTGACCTTGCAACAGAACTTGAGAGAATCTGGCGTGACATCCCACAAGCCTTCCTTGCACGTTTGATAGGCTCTATGAGTCGTCGATGCACTGCTGTTCTCAATGCCGATGGTGGACATACCCGTTATTGAGCTTGTGACATGGTCGTATGACCCCTGTCCCGCTTGTGGGCGTCATTGTGACTGACTTTTCAATTGAAATTCTCCCGACTTGTTATTGTCTCATGATCCCTGCATTAAAGTTTATATGTACTTTTGACATTCTTATCGTACTTATCAACTGGGATAATATTTTGCCAATGCACAGTTTCTTCATTTGGCTAGTATACCATGTTTTCAGATGA